TGCTGGCTTTGTATGGGATCCCTGTCACGGGTGAACCCGTACAGGCACTTCAATGACCCAGCCTCCCCGTGCTTTAACAGGTGTGTATTTACAGGTATTTCTTCTAGCCCCATACCACTTGCTCTTGGACTTTTTCTTACAGTCTCTCCCCGATCATTCTTACCTTGAAATTTGTAGCTATATGGTTTAAGACACAGTTTCTTCTCTCAAATATTTACACTTGCAAGGGCCTGACACTAACAATAATCAGGAGTGATTTGGGAATGGTTTTGCTTTTTAAGAACCTTTGTTTTAAAATTTTGGAGAGGTCTTCTGGGCCTATTGCTGCTGCTTTACTTGCTGCCTCTGGCTGAGAGATGGCCTGCAGTGAAACGTTTCCTTGCAGATGCTCAGGTATGTGATAGTGCAAGACAAACTTTGGGCTAGAAAGCTGCTTCTAGAAAGCTGCAGGCTTGGCTTACATCATCGCTATTAGGGATGTGTCAGGAGACAGAGGATGCTGCCGCTGTCTGGACAAGTGAAAGGGCTGGCAGGTCAGAGGGGTGCAACAGCGGCACCCTCTAACCTCGTGTGTATTCCCTGGTTTATGTGCTCGTCGCTGTGGTATGTCATCCTGGACACAAAAGTCAAAATACCAATACTGTACTTCACCCTCCACCATCTGTTCTGCTAGAATAGATGTGGCTGACAGGATTTTTTTTTTTTCCTTGGCCCTTCTTTTTCAGCATTCCCTTTTCTCCCAACAGTAATTTTTTTCACTTTCTATTTTTCTTCTTCTGGTGTTTCCTGCTGTGTTTTTTTTTGTTTTGTTTTAGCTTTGTTTAGCTTAACCTCTACCTATCTTGACTAAGCTCATCTGTTTTATAAAAAACATTTTCTTCCCTTTTGTTCCCCCCTTGCTTACACGTTATAGTTGTTTGCCCAGCCCAGTGCTGTCCGATTAGATGGTAAGCCGTTTGGAGCAGGCAGGCTCCAAACACTGCCTAAAGACCAACCTGGGATGGCAGCACGCTGGGTAACCGTTACTACATTTCGGATGATTAGTATTTTCAAGGATTTCTTGAGACATCACGCTTTTGTAAGGAACTGTAAAACCTTCTGGTGTAACATGCTGTGGAAGTGCAGAGTAGCTTATTTTAATCGACTTTGAGGACTGCAGCATGAGTGGGTGATGATACTGAAAAAAACGGTGAAACTTGCCGCTTTTGTATTGTTTTTTTTTCACATTTAGGGGTTTTTTGTATGTATTTTACTTTTTTTTACACCCTGATGTAAATTGTTGGCTGTCTTGCAGATTGTTTCAAGCCATGCGTATTGATGGGGAGTTCTGGGAGGTTGAAGATGAAGACCAGTAGCTTTCTCTAGCAACAAAAGCTGAACAAACCAGAGACAGATGCTTTCCATTTTTGTGTCAAGTTTGTTTGCTTTTCACTTCCATTACGTGATAGAAGAATGATAACTACCTTGCACTGCAGGATACTCACACTTCAGAGGCTGTTGCCAAAACCAAAGGAGACCATTTTACCCATCCTGTGGTCAGGATCACCACTGAAGGTCCTAATAATCCTATCGATTGTTAAAGACAAATACCACCAATCAGAAGTTGGAAAATTACTGGAAAAACGTACACTAAGAGGTGCCCCTGTTTCAAAAGCAAACAAACAAAAGTGAAGCCTCAAATCACAGAAATATTTGGGGGTTTCCTTCAGGGAGACTGACCTTTCAAGGGTCTTGGCTCATACCCATCATGAGGTTTAGGGCAGTTTTATTCTTGCCACAGTGCTGTCGAGCTGTTCAGTGATGCTGCTTGCACAGGGCAAGTTTTCTGATACGATACAGAAAATTTCTGTATTCAGCAACTGAGCCTGTTGCTTCCATAGCACCTCCTGACCTGTTTCTCTGAAAAGCAGCTCCTTGCTCTGGCGCTGACACAGTCTAACGATGGTAAACTTGATTATCCCTAACCCCCTTCTTGCTGGGTCTTTGCATTACTGAATGCTTCGGCAGAAAATGACCAACAACCATTTCCAGGAATTTGAATCAGTTTGCCGACTCATCTCAGCGTTGCTGGTGTATTAACTTATATTGCCTCTCCTGGTTTTGACAGTGATGAGTCTAAAGCAATGAACTGAGTACATGGCCAGTGAGAGGATGAAAAGTATCAGTCAGATATTGAAACACATTTTTATGGATAGGTAATTAAGATTTAACTTGAATTCTTTGAGACACTGAAAGTTATCTTGTCTTCTCAGATGATGAAGTAATTTATTTTTTACTAATTCTTCATATGAGGAATTTGACTAGTTGATAGTTTTGCTTCTGGACTAGATCCCTTATTTCCACTGTTCTTGCACTTCAAATTATTTCAAAACCCAAATTGTTTCCCCTAAAAGCTCAGTAAGTAGTTTTGTGAGCATGAAAGTAATTACTGGAGGGAACCACTAATTTTTTAGAAGTTTTTCCACTTGCAGAATGGTCTAAAAATTTATTTTGAAATTAAAACTGTGTGTGCTGTGTTCAAAATAACTAGCAGGGTCCAGATGGATAGCTCAGGAGCTGGAAGACTCTTCAGGAAAACTCAAGGTGAACACCTCTCACTTGGTTTTGACTGTTAGTAAATAAATTTCTACTCGGATATCTGGCCAAAATGAGTGCTGATTTAGTTCCTTTCACAGAGGATGAAAGTCTAATTGGCAGCGATTAAAAAGAGAAGAGATGGTAAGAGCAGATCTCGTCTTGATTTAGGCTGTAGGACAGTGTGTAGGG